GCCAAAACTTCAGTTTTTCTTCGAGTCCACGGTATCTGTTTACCGTCCTGCAAAACGAGAACGAGGTTCGCACACATTAGAGGGCTCGTCCATGCGATGAAAAGCTGCCCCATGCAATACTGCATCAGCCAGTTTTTCCCAGTGGAAAATGGATAGGTGAAAAGAAAAAGAAAAACAACCTTACACCTATTATACAGCATGGCCGCCTCCCCAATTCCTTCAACCTCATGTTGCACAGCTCCAAAATTTCTCATTGGTTTAGAAAATTGGTTGCGACAAAAAAAGGGGAGGTGAATTCCAAAAACCTTAAACAACCTTCACATTTAAGACTCTCCTTCCCTCCCCGATTCCCCCTCACCACCTTCTCATCCGCTTCTGCTCCAGGCAGTTCTCGGAGGGCGGTAGGCAGAACAGTGGGCAGGCACAAGGCAAAACAGTGGGCAGGCAGAAGGCTCGAAGTGTTGAGACACAATGAAATACCAGCCACCTCTTCTTTGTGCTTTAGGTTAGCCTCCGCCCTTCTCTCCCCCCCACCTTTCTCCCCTCCCCACCATCTCACCTGCTTGCTTCTGCTCCAGGCAGTTCCTGGCAAGCAGCAGGCAGAACAGTGGGCGAGTGGCTTTAGACTCGCGACCCGCCTTCCTCCTCAACCACAACCTCTCTTCTTTGTGCTATACACATACGGAACCCTCTAACCGCCCCTCTCTCCCTGCTCACCAGTTTCTGCTCCAGGCAGTTCTTGGAGAGCAGCAGGCGGAACAGCCGACAGGCCGAAGGGCCAAAACGTTGAGATACGATGAACTAGATGCCACCTCTGTTCTTTGTGCTATAGGTAAGCCCCCGCCTCTGTAGCTTGCTTTGTGCTATAGGTAAGCCCCCGCCTCTGTTGTTTGCTTTGTGCTATAGGTTAACCCCCGCCCCCCTCTCCCCCCACTCCCCTCTTCCCCGCCGCCTCACCTGTTTCTGCTCCAGGCAGTTCTTGGAGAGCAACAAGCAGAGCAGTCGGCAGTTGCAGGTGGTTCAAGTCATACCAACGAGATGCCACCTTATCAACTAGCTGCTTCTTTTCTACTTCTTCCAATGGCCTCTTCTTCCTCTCCTCGCTCACCTGCTTCTGCTCCAGGCAGTTTTTGGAGAGCAGCAGGCGGAACAGTCGGCAGGCAGAAGGGCCGAAGCGCTGAGACACTATTGCTTCAACCTGAAAAGGGTGGTGGGAGGGAGGGGGTGATGTTGAGAGGTTGGAGAAGTGGTGCTTGATGAGATCATGAGAATGCCCAAACCAAAGTGCTAAGACTTCTGAGACGTCTCAAAAGTTGCTTCCACCTGCAAGGGGTGGTGGGAGGTGGTGATGCTGAGAGGTTGCAGAAGTGGTGCGATGAGAAGGCCCAATATTAAGTGCTGAGCTGATTTTGAGGCGCCTCAAAAACAGCCTCCTTACAGACAGATCGCCCTTTCCCACCCTCCACGGTTGAAATGAAAAATAGTTGCAAGAAGTGGTGATGGGCAATAGAGGAGGAGGCTTGATTTGAGGTTACAAACGAAACACACAACCTTGTGATAGACAGTCTACTTTTGCAACTCTCTATCCAATGTCTCGCAATCCAATCCAGGAGTCAGCTCAAGTCAACGCACCTCTCCACGGGTCAATTCAAGTCAACACACCTCTCCATGGGTAAATTCAAGTCAATGCCCCCTCCATCAGTCAACTTGAGTCAACGCACCTCTCCATCAGTCAACTTGAGTCAACGCACCTCTCCATCAGTCAACTTGAGTCAACGCACCTCTCCATCAATCACCTTGGGTCATCACACCTCTCCATAAGTCAACTTGAGTCATCGCACCTCTCTGAGCTTCACTAGCTCGATGATCTTCGCAGATTCTGACAGGCAACAGCAAGAATGACCATTCACAAGCCATCCATACATTCACACGTGCATGCACAGATGCATTCACAAAATGCATACACACATGCATACACACATGCATACACACATGCATACACACATGCATTCATACATGCATTCACAAATGCATACACACATGCATTCACAAATGCATACACACATGCATTCACACATGCATTCACACATGCATGCACACATGCATATACACACATGTGCACACACATGCAAGCACAGGCACACTCGCAGGACAAAGCTAGCAGAGGTGGTTTACATGCTTGTGGTGTAACGTAAGTATAACTCAGCCCAGGGGGCTTGACGTGTGCAGTTAGATGACACGTGATAAAAGTTGTATTTTTGAGACGTCTCAAAAATTGACATGTGATAAAAGTTGTATATTGAGACGTCTCAAAAATTGACATGTGATAAAAGTTGTATTTTGAGACGTCTCAAAATTCTCACAAATGGTCTAGTGGGCATTTTAGGAGCGAGCAGCCACGACGACTTTTGAGTCGACTCATAAGTCACCTCGACTCAAAAGTAGGGTCGGGCATTTAACCCTGACGGGTCGGGTAACCCGACCCGACCCGACTATCGAAGTGACTACCCGCGCGGGTCGGGTATTATTACCCGTTTGGGTATTTTAAAACCCGGTACCTGACCCGGGTGTCCAATGTCGGGTATGTGAAACCCGACAAATGTAATCCGAAAGCAGGAAAAGAAACTAAACATACAAATTACAGAACTTCATCCATAACGGGTATACCCGACCCGACCTCGGGTATACCCGACCCGACCTCGGGTTCTAAATACCCGAGGTGTACAAGGCGGGTCGGGACTCGGGTATACACCCTGACCCTGAATACCCGAGGTCGGGTATACACCCTGACCCTGAATACCCGAGGTCGGGTATACACCCTGACCCTGAATACCCGAGGTCGGGTATACACCCTGACCCTGAATACCCGAGGTCGGGTATACACCCTGACCCTGAATACCCGAGGTCGGGTATACACCCTGACCCTGAATACCCGAGGTTGGGTATACACCCTGACCCTGAATACCCGAGGTTGGGTATGCCCGACCCGACCTGACCCCGCCCTCGGTTAGCCCCAAACGGGTCGGGTCGGGACGGGTCGGGCCAATGCCCAAGCCTACTCAAAAGTCACCTCGACTCACAAGTCACTTGGTGTAGATAAATGACTCACGGATGGTGTAGTGGGCGTCTGAGGAGCGAGAAGCCACGGCGCTGGGATGTGCTACAAGCAGCTGAAGGGCCGCTCTGATCCGATCGAGGGCCATGGTGCGCCCGTCTGCTGTGGCCCGCACTGCATTGACTATCGAGTCAAGGGAGAGAGATGCTGGGAGAGGAAGAACGGAGTAGAGGAGGGAAGGGAGCAACAGGGGGAAATCGAGGGTTGTGATCCGATCGAGGGCCATGGTGCGACAGTCGGCTGTGCCTCGCACTGCATTGACTATCGAGTCGAGGGAGAGGGACGCTGGGAGGAGAGGGAGGGTGGAAATAATAAGAGAGGAAAAGAGCCGCTCTGATCTGAGCGAGGGCCATGGTGCGCCCGTCTGCTGTGGCCCACACTGCATTGACTATCGAGTCAAGGGAGAGGGACGCTGGGAGAGGAAGAACGGAGTAGAGGAGGGAAGAGAGCAACAGGGGGGAATAGAGGGTTGTGATCCGATCGAGGGCCACGGTGCGACCGTCTGCTGTACCTCGCACTGCATTGACTATCGAGTCGAGGGAGAGAGATGCTGGGAAGGGAGGGATGTGAGAGAGAGCAGAGGGAAAGCTCGCTGTGCAATGCGGCCGCACCGCACCACAGATGCAGAGTATTGAGGCGCTTTCGAGAGTTCTCACTATTGAGTTTTGAGACGTCCCAAAACGCACCACAGATGCAGAGCAATGAGGCGCTTTTGAGAGCTCTCAAAATTGAGTTTCGAGAATACAAATCGCTCCACAGATGCAGAATGTTGAGGCGCTTTTGAGAGCTCGCAGAAATGCGGCGTCTCAACAGGCAGCTGAAGTGCCGCTCTGATCTCATTGAGGGCTGTGCCTTTTTTTTTTTTTTAGTGCAACTATGTCCTTTGAGTCGACTCAAAAGTCACCTCGTTTTTTTTAGTGCAACTATGTCCACTGGCGAGTCAAGTGTGAGGCAATGCGTTGACTATTGAGTCAAGGGAGAGGGATGCATGCTGGTGTTAGAGAGGGAAAGGCGGAGAGGAAGGAGTGGGAGGGAAGGGTGGGTGGGAGAAAAGGAAACGTAGAAAGAGGGCTTGTATGAGTCACATCACCTCACATGGCTCACTCACATGACCCTCACATGACCCATTGGTTTGTATGCCTCATATGCTTCAATGACGGGTTGAGCACTCACCACACCCACTGTAGAGTTGAGCGCGCACCTGTCAATCACGAGGTGTCTCATCTCAGAGCCGACTTTTGAGCACACACACCCAAACAACTGTTTCAAATTACAGCCGTTTCTTTTGTCCACTGACGAAAGGCTCACGATAAGGCTCATGGCATGGCAACGCTTGTGCGGAAGCACCAACGGAGACGACTTTTGAGGTGCCTCAAAAGTCGTTTTTTGAGGCGCCTTAAAAAAAGCCGTCTTTTGAGGCGCCTCAAAAGTCGTTTTTTGAGGCGCCTTAAAAAAAATTGTCTTTTGAGGCGCCTCAAAAGTCGATTTTTGAGGCGCCTTAAAAAAAGTCGTCTTTTGAGGCGCCTCAAAAGTCGTTTTTTGAGGCGCCTTAAAAAAAGCCGTCTTTTGAGGCGCCTCAAAAGTCGTTTTTTGAGGCGCCTTTAAAAAAGTCGTCTTTTGAGGCGCCTCAAAAGCAACGCTTGTGCCTCAAAAGCACCAACGGAGAAAAATCTAGGGTTTGAGGGACCCTACCTGAGTACGGGTGTCGGAGAGAAGTTTCCTGGTTCTTTCCGGCATGGAGCAGGGCGGCAGTGATGATGGAAGCGCCTGGGTCGATGCTCTCGCGCACAAAGTCTACTATGGTCTGGTGGAGAGGGGTGAAGAGTGGTGGAGACGGGTGAAGAGTTGTGGAGACGGGTGACGAGAGGGGTGAAGGGTGGCAGAGATGGGTCCGAGGAAGAGAGGTGTGCGAAGGAGGGCAGTAGTGATGATGGAAGTGCCTGAGTTGATGCTTTCTCGTACAGAGACCACTATCATCTGGTAGAGAGGGGTAAAGAGTGGTGGAGATGGGTGTGGGAAAGAGAGGTGTGGGTGTGGGGAAGAGAGGTGTGGGGAAGAGGGCAGCAGCAATGCCTGGGTCGATGCTTTCTTGTTCAAAGTCCACTATGGTCGAGGGCAGAGAGAGGTGAATAGTGGGGTGTGCGGAGGAGAGGGGTGTGGGGGGGGGAAGTGGTGGTCAGTGAACAAAAGAAGAGAGAGGATAAAAACGAGCACATGTTCTGTAACACAGTCCTTCACCTGACGCCCACCTGAAGCCCACCTGGTGTGTCGTTCTCTTCCCACCTGAACTGAAGGCCGCCTGAAGACCACCTGAAGACCACCTGAAGACCACCTGAAGCCCAGCTGGTACGCTGTTCTCTTCCCACCTGAAGGCCACCTGACACCAAGTTGACGTCCACCTGAACCCACCTGGTGTCTCGTTCTCCTGAGAAACTCCTCATAGTTCACCCGCCACAGCACGCCAGAGTCCTCCCCTCCTCCCTGCTTCTCCCCTCCACCTGCACCCCCCCCTGCTACTGCCGGCCCTGTTGCACGCCGCTTGGCGCTGGGGCCCGCTTGCTCCTCCTCATCGTCATCCTCGTCGAGAACCACTCGCTTCCTCTGCAAGTGCGGTGCGGTGGGGTGCGGTGCGGTGCAAGGGCAGAAATGGGAAACACTGTGTGGTGGTGGTGCGGCCAATGCAGGGCGCCTGGCACCATGACCCCCCCTTGCTCCTCCTCCTCGTCATCGTCTAGAGCAACTCGCTTTCTCTGCAAGTGCGGAGCAGAGAACAAGGACAGAAAAGGGAAGCACTGTGTGGGGGTACTAGTAGTGCAGGCCGCTCGGCACTGTTTCCTGCGTGCTCCTCCTCCTCATCATCATCTAAAACAGCTCGCTTTCTCTGCGAGTGCGGTGCGGTGGGGGTAGAAAAGGGGAACACTGTGTGCTGTGGAGGTATGCTTAAAAATAAAAGCGCACAAGAAGCGGGCAACTGGAAGTGCTGGGCGTCGCTACAGCGCTCTGCAACGACCACACGGCGGTGCTCTTTCCTGCACCAACATGGCTGCTCCTGCACCTGAATCTACCCATTCCGACCGCTCTCTCACCTTCAACTTTGCTGCTGCTGCTGCTGCTGCTGATGCTGCTGACATTCCCCCATCCGCCCCTGCACCCCCATCCACAGCAGCAGTAACAGCACTGCCAGCACCGCCATCAGCGCCATCACCAGCGTCATCACCAGTGCCATCACCAGTGCCATCACCAGTGCCATCACCAGTGCCATCACCAGTTTTGAGTCGACTCAAAACTAGGCTCATCACCAGCGCCATAACCAGTGCCATCACCAGCGCCATCACCAGCGCCATCACCAGCGCCATCACCAGCGCCATCACCAGCGCCATCACCAGCACCATCACCACCCGACAGCACCCAGGAGGCGGGCAGCTGGCAGCGCAGGGCGTCGCTGCAGCGCATTGCAACAACCACCCAGTGCACCTTGCTGCACCTGCATAGCTGTTCCTGCACCCGCCAAATCCACCAATTCTGATTGCTCACTCACCTTCAACTTAGCGGCCGCTGCTGACATTCCTGCATCTGCTCCAGTGCTCCCGTCCACAGCAGTATGAGCAGCACTAGCAGGGCCATCACCAGACGACAGCACCCAGGAGCCGGGCAGCTGGAAGCGCAGCGCGTCGCTGCAGCGCGCTGCAACGACCACGCGGTGCTCCTCCGAGTCAAAGTAGCCAGACGATTCCATGACTGCCCGCGTGCGCTGAGGGAGAGGAAGGGGTGAGAGCAGGAAGGGAAAGGGACATTGGAGGTTGGGAGGAGAGGAGTGAGCGAGTGTGGGTGCAGTGCAGCAGCGCGCCGCAATGCAACGACCACGCGGTGTCTCTCAGAGCCAAAGTAGCCAGACGAGTCCATCATTGCCCGCGTGTGCTGAGAGGGCTTTTGAGGTAAGAGGATGGGAGTCGGGGCATATGGAAACCACAGCAGGAGTGAGCAACAGCAGTGTGGCTACAGCAGTGTGCAGCGCGCTGCAACGACCACCACGCAGTGTGACTGCAGCTTGCTGTAACAACCACCACACGGTGCTCCTCCAAGTCAAAGAGACCCACCGTCTGAATGCACTGAATCCACTTTTTGAGATTAGTGAACCGGAATAGGCATGATAAACAAGAGGGAAAGAGTGTCAGGAGAGAGAAACCAAACTCACCACACGCGCACGAGAAGCGGGCTTGGGAGCATCGCCGCCGCTGCTTGCTCCCCGAGCCGGCAGCATAGGCTCGGGGGCCCCGACCCTTTCGACAAGTCTCTCATGGATCAGCACTGACAGTGCCGCCACCAGCTGCTGCCGAACCTGACCCTCGGCTGCAGGAACAGCAGGGCGAGCAAATGAGTGTAAAAGGACAGAATCATTGTAAGGACAGAATCATTGTAAGGACAGAATCATTGTAAGGACAGAATCATTGCAGGAACAGCAGGGCGAGCAAATGAAGGTAGGTGAATCGGCACCACAGAAAATACACAGGAAGGGACAAAAGAGCAGTAGCCAACAAAAGAAGAAGCAAACGAAAAAAAAAAAAAGGGAAGCAGATCATTTGCTCTTGAGGCGCCTCAAAACAGACATACCTAATCAATGGCCAGTCAAGCAACAAGTTGCTTACTCTTTCCGGCAGAGGGGTCAGACGAGCCAGCTTTTGCCACCGATCGCTGCACAAGCTGGTGCAGGGACAGGCGCCCGTGCTCTAAAAGAGCCTCCACCACTGCTTCTGCCTGAAAATAGATGTTAACGAGGGGGTATGGGAAGAAGGTGGGGTAGAGGAGTGGGGGAGGTTTGGGTATCAAGGGAACTGTGGTGTGATCGCTGCACGAGCTGGTGCAGTGACAGGCGCCCGTGCTCTAAAAGAGCCTCCACCACTGCTTCTGCCTGAAGGAGAATGGAGGGAGAAAGAGGGGAGAAAGGGTGGAGGAAAGGGGGGAGGGAGGGGAGGAGAGGAGGATGGGGAAAGGGGGCCATGTTCCAAAAGAGCCCTAACCATTGCCTCTGCTCTCCCACCCTCCGCGGATCCTCCCACCCTTCACCACCCACCCACTTTGTCGCCCAGCAGCTAGTTTGTCTGGGCCATGAATGTGGGGAAGCGCAGGCGCGGCAGGACGGATCAAGTGCCATGCCTAACCCACACTTCCACCCACTCCACAACACTCCAGCCCTCTCCACCGCACTCCACCCACCCACCTCGTCTCCCAGCAGCTCGTTTGTCCGGGCCATGAACTTGGGAAAGCACAGGCAAGGCAGGATGAAGCACCATGCCTAGATAACGCTTTCACTCACTTCACCCCACTGCACCCCACTACACCCCACTGCACTGCACGCCACGCCACCTCCGCGCACCCACCTCGTCTCCCAGCAGTTCGTTCGTCTGGGCCATGAACTTGGGGAAGCGCAGGCGAGGCAGGATGAAGCGCCATGCCTAATATAACGATTCCGCCCACTCCACCCCACTCCACTCCACTCCACTCCACCCCACTCCACCCCACTCCACCCCACCTCACCCACCCACCTCGTCGCCCAGCAGCTCGTTCGTCTGGGCCATGAACTTGGGGAAGCGCAGGCGAGGCAGGATGGAGTCCTGTAGAGCGATGTAGAGTGTTGGCACACGGGCAAGAGGGCCGGTGTCTGGGGGGGGAAAGAAGCAGGGGTTTGGAGTGGTTCGAGGGGGTGTGGAAAGTTAGCTTCATGCTTAGCGCAGGCGAGGCAGGATGGAGTCCTGCAGAGCGATGTAGAGTGTTGGCACACGGGCAAGAGGGCCGGTGTCTATGGGGGGGGGGGGGGTTGGGCGTGTGAAAGGAGCAAGGAGAGAAGGGAGCTTAAATCCACTTCAAAGCGCAGACGAGGCAGGATGGAGTCCTGTAGAGCAATGTAGAGGGTGGGTGTGCGGGCCAGGGGACCGGTGACTGGGGGGTTGAGGATAAGAGAGGAGGAGGGAGTGACGAAGTGGTTCAAAGACCAGGCGAGGCGGGATGGAGTCCTGCAGAGCGATGGTGGGTCAGATGGGGAGTGGGGACACCCCTGAACCCTAAACCCTGAACACTAAACCCTGAACCCTGAACCCTAAACCCTTAACCCTAAACCCTGAACCCTGAGGGTTGAGGAAGATGTCGACCCCTGACCCTGACTGAACCCTGAACTGAACCCTGGGGGATGAGGAAGAGTGTCAAAAAGCACCTACAGCGTTAACCTTAACCCCTGACTAACTCACCTTCAGTCTGCGGGCGAAAGGCCTGCGCGCAGTTGTGTTGCACGAGCACCAGGAGAGCGGAGCGCAGTGAGGGGGGAGGGAGGTCGGTGAAGCGAGCGAGGTCCTGCAGGGACAGGCCGAGCTGTCCCTTCTCCAGCAGTGTGCGGCATACCGTCTGGTGGGGGGGAGGGGAAGGGAAAGGAACGGAGGAGATTCAACGAGAGAAACAGAGGAATGGCAGGGGAGGAAGGGCAGTGTAGCGAGCGAGGTCTTGGAGCAACAGGCCGAGCTGTCCCTTCTCCAGCAGTGTGCGGCATACCGTCTGTTATGAGGGGTTAGGAAGGATCATGCATAGGAGGAGGAACAGGGGAAGCAAGGGAAGCGTGGCGAAACGAGCGAGGCCCTGAAGGGACCAGCCGAGCTGTCCCTTCTCCAGTAGAGTGCAGCATACCGTCTGGTGCGGGGGAGGGGAGAGGGGGGTATGGTAGGTAGACGGCATATGGAATAAACGGGAGGGCAGTGAAGGGACACGCCGCCGAGTTGTCCCTTCTCCCGTAGAGTGTGGCATAGCGTCTGAATTATTTGGGGGAGGGGATAAAACAGGATGGAAGAGGGGGAACGGGGGAATCAAAAAGAGGGCGGTGAAGGGAGCGAGGTCTTGCAGTGCATGCAGGTACAGGCCCAGCTGTCCCCTCTCTAGCCAGCGTGTTGCATACTGTCTGGACAAGCGGGGAGGTGGTGATGGTGAAGCGGACGGGAGCGGACGGGAGCGGAGGGGAGCGGAGGGGAGTGGAGGGGGGCGGAGGGGGGCGGAGGGGAGCGGAGGGGAGTGGAGGGGGGCGGAGGGGGGCGGAGGGGAGCGGAGGGGAGTGGAGGGGGGCGGAGGGGGGGGAGGGGAGCGGAGGGGTTTCAAAGAAAGCAACTGGGGAATGGAGAGGAGGGAGGGCGGCTGTAGCGGGCAAGATGCACCTACATCTAGATGCAGCTTCGTGAGGTAACACCTGGATGCACCTCCACATGGTAACACCTGGATGCACCTCCACCTGGTAACACCTGGATGCACCTCCACCTGGTCCCTGATGTGGACTTGATAACACCTGAAAGCACCTCCCTCTGTAACAGTTGCTCGCAACTCCCCCATATAACACCTGGATGCACCTCCCCCAGGTAACACCTGGACGCACCTCCACCTGGTTCCCGAAGTGGTCCTTTACGAAGTGGTCCTGACCTGATGACACTTAAATGGACCTCCCCCAGAGAGCACCTAGACGGGCCTTGTCCAGGTAGCACCTGGTTTCACCTCCCTCGGTTATTACCCGGACGCACCTCCACTTGGTCCCCGAAGTGGTCCTGATAACACCTGCTTCTCCGATAACACTTAGATGCGCCTTCCCCAGGTAACACCTACCTCCACCTGGTCGCCGAAGTGGTCTTTCACGATCCCACACGCCAGTTCTCGCGCGTACGGCGTCGGCATTCCCAAGGTTCTTTCCCAAACAAGTTGGTTTTCAAAGCTAGGGTTCTTCCTAGCGACCGCGGCGCGCGTAACGAGGTCCTATCACTTCCTACCACCGGCGTAGCGAACTGCTTTTCAAAGCTAGGGTTTACAAGCACTGTCCCGACAGCGGGGAATCGATTACAGGCGGCTTACTACGATCATGCCGAATTCGGCAAGACTTAGCGTGGAGTGGTCTCGGAGTTTCCTTTCAGCGATTGTACGACAACGGTCCTTCCGCTGCGACGCGGAACTGCCGTCGCGCATGCATAATAACCACCACAGCGATACCCTAAGATGGTGGCTTCATTAGCCCCCTTACAAGCCTGCATTAGGCTTTTAGTAAGGTCTAGAATCAGACTCGCTAGAAAGTGCTTCGGACGGAAGGTTCATTCCTGTCGTGGTACGCTGAATTGTTAAAAACAAAACTTCCTATAAAAAGCCAATGTCTGGAACCACCCCCAATCTTGAGCATACCTCCATGTTAGCAGTCAAACAATTTAAGTCTCTTCTCCTCTCAACCACTATTTACACGGAGTGAAATTTATTGACACAGCACAAAACATTCCACATCTCTTACTATCATCGAACAAGGACACCGGAAAAATGTATTTACCCTAGCTTAGTGTCTACACTTGCTTGTCTTCTGCTATCACCACTAGGTGCTATCACATTCTCCCTTCCTTCCACCCCCCCTGCTCCTGCGCCCTCCACCTCCACACCACCCCCGTTACCTTTCTCATTATCAACATTGCTACCAGCCCTGCCGTTCCCAGCAGCAGCATCGGCGTTACAATCGGCCGGCTGGTTACCGCTCTGTGTGCGCTCTGCAATGAATGTCATTGCCATCTCCATCATCGCCTGGCTATTTCTCTTCATCTGAAAGGAAGAAGAGGGAGGGAGGGGAGGGAGGGAGAGGGTGACAGTGAGTCAGGATGTGCTGTGCTACCAGTAGCAATCAAACAGGGCAGTTTACAGTGTATTTGCTATCACACAATCAGTGCAATTTGCAACCATCTAGGCAACGTCTGCAGGCAACTAAGACCATTCCATCAGTGCTGTAAACACAGACGATTTATGACGTGCGTAAAAAATGTACCGTGAACAACAAACGGAGGAGCAAACCACCTATGCACGCACCTCTGCCTGTGCTCCCTGTCGAATCTTCCCTTGCATCATGCACCATTTCTTGAAGTGCACGCCTGCATGCACACACACAGAAATGTCTCAAAAAAAAAAAACACACACACACACACACACACAGAGGACAACAAAAGCTGGACAAATAGACTGAAATGAACAACTGTTGACTTTTTTATTCAGAGTCAAACGGAAGGACCACCATCCTGCTTAAAGTCCAGCTCTGCACAATGGGCTCTCGGTGTTTTCGGATCTCATTTTGACTCCTACTCCAGAGGTTGACTTGAACCTTCTAAGTTGCCTCACAGTGTGACGTCTAATTCAACCAAAAAGCCAGAAGCACCGACCTGCTTTGAGCTCGGCACTGCAGGATGGGCTCTCGGGGTTGTCGGACATCGTTTTGACCGTCCACTGCGCATGCACCTGAGAAGCACAGAAAATGACAAAAGAACTATAGATTCGAGTCCACACCACTTATTCTGCCTCCAGTTTCGAGATGTTTCAAGACCCACAACACATATTTCATCGCAAGTTCTCCAAACCACACGCGTGCATCACCTCAGAGTAAAAAACATAAAAACTCACCGCCTCACCTCATGCGTCTGGTCAGGTAGATCAGACACCTAAAAACATCTTATCGCCTAAACAAATGACTCAAGAGATAACATCAGAGAAACACACCGGATATTATCACAGCACGCCACAAGTCTAACCTCAAAGTAGGACCCAAATGGCACATCATGCGCCTGGTTTATTAGCTCAAGGACCTGGTGGGTGGTTAAAGAGGGGCGTTGGGAGATGGGCTCTATGAAAAAAACTGGCATGACTGCATCAAATGGCATGAAAAGGGCATCAAATGGCATGAAAAGGGCATCAAATGGCATGAAAAGGGCATCAAATGGCATGAAAAGGGCATCTCATGCGACTGGTAAACTAGCCCAGCACCTAATGAGAGGTACCTCCTGGATGCAATGCAAGGGTAGGATGAATAAATAATCGGTAATTTAAAGAGCGGCACGATTAAAAGGATTTGTTCGAGCCGGAGTTATAAAATGTGAGAAACACAATATGAGTTTGGCAAGTGCTGGGATTTCATACAATCTGCATCCACCAACGTGTATATTATACGTATGAATACATATGTATATATATATATGTGCGCATACATACTTATGTGTATAGGTATGTATGTATGTATGTATGTATGTATGTATGTATGTATGTATGTATGTATGTATGTATGTATGTATGTATGTATGTATGTATGTATGTATGTATGTATGTATGTATGTATGTATGTATGTAGGTACGTACGTACGTACGTACGTACGTACGTACGTATGTATGTATGTATGTATGTATGTATGTATGTATGTATGTAAATGGAGTATTTACACACCAGGTGCTTGTGGTCCGAAGCAGCGAAGGCCATGTGCTGCCATTCAGTCATGGCAGTGGAGGGTGGGCACATGGGCGAGTCGCACAGCGAGCGATAGGTCACCTTGGGGGATGGGAGAGGAGGGGGAGGATGGTTTCGTGTTCAGCTCAATCCAACTTCTTGCAAGCAGAGAAGGCCATGTGCTGCCACTCAGTCATGGCAGTGGAGGGTGGGCACATGGGCGAGTCGCACAGCGAGCGATAGGTCACCTTGGGGGATTGGAGAGGGGGAGTGGGGGAGAGAGAGTGCAGGCATGACTCCTGAACGATGGGTGGATGGGTGACAAGCAGAGCATGCAACCCTGTGTGCCCCTTGATACACAACCAATCGGCCATGGCAATAGCGGGTGGGCACATGGAAGCACATTTTTCAGGTGTATTAGATAGAGGAGTCTCTAGCTTTTTTTGAGACGTCTCAAGAACACTCTTCAATAGCGGCTCGGCACATGGAAGCGCATGTTTCAGGTGTATTGAATACAGGAGACTCTAGCTGTCGGTAGCAATCAGTCACACTGACAGCCAGACTGAGAGCGGAAGTGTGCGAAAGATGCCGAGTGAAACATGACAAAGCCCTCCCATTGCTTCTTCTCATCACCTTTTCTGAACCATCACTTCTCATCTCCTGAAACTGAAAACGATCAGTTTGCTATTTTGCTCAGATTTAACGACCATATTTGTTTCTGATTTTTTTCCTGTTCTCCTTTTTTCTCTTCCTGGAAGTTTCTCCCCTGGCTTACCTCTCTCATCTTTCCTCCGTACTGCTCTGTTTCCTTCCACTCGCCCACCTGCAAAGCAAGAGATAAAGGAAGCAAGTGGGATGAGAGGAAGCAAGTGGAATGAGAGGAAGAAAACATGCAATGCAAGGGAAATCAGACAATGAAACGGCTGGCAAGATGTTATAGGTTGCGTAAAAGAAGCAAAACATTGCTCATGTCGCTGGATATACGTGGACTTCCTGTAAATGTTTCAAGAGCAAACGGATCTCAGCAACTATCGAGTCGACTCAAAAGTCGACTCAAGCATCAGCTTTTGAGTCGACTCAAATTAAGAGAAACATTGCTCAATCGTCTGGATATACTTGGACTGGAATTCCTGTAAATGCTTCAAGAGCAAACGGATCTCAGCAACTAGTCGGTTATTAGGATCCTTTGCTCCTGAAACGATTCATACAGTTAATTAAGTCCTGCCTCACCTTTTGCCTCATTTGACCCGCACCTCACCTTCAGCTCAATGTCTTTGCGCGGGGCCTTAGGCTCGATACACCATGGCAGAGCGAGCCTTAGGGCCTAACGCTGGCACACATGACTCACCTTTCGCTCTGTTTGGTCCAAGCCTAACTTACTGCCGTTCCTGCGCCTCACCTTCAGCTCCGTGTCCTTGCGCTTGGCTCGGTAAACCACGACGAAATCTGACGAATCGGAGTAGAGGAGATTGAAATAGGCTTCTGCTGTGCAGGGCACTTCGAACTGGAAGGAGGGGGGGAAGAGGGTGGGAAGAAGTAAAATGATTGATGTACGGAAATACAGGGAACAGCAGAAAGAAACAGGACGGATAGGAGTAGAGGAGGTTAGAATAGGCATCTTCTGTGCATGGCACTTCGTACTGCGGAAGGAAAGGGTGTCGGCGGGGGGTTGGTTGGTCGGGGGTGGGTTGGCAGGGGGGGAGGGAAACAAAGAAGCACAGGGAATAGAATCAAATTAATCGGAAAATGGAGGTTGAAGCAGGCTTCCGCCATGCAGGGCGCGTCGAACTGAAAGGTGGAAAGAGAATCAGGAGGGAGAAGAAGGGAGAAGAAGGGAGAAGAAGGGAGAAGAAGGGAGAAGAAGGGAGAAGAAGGGAGAAGAAGGGAGAAGAAGGGAGAAGAAGGGAGAAGAAGGGAGAAGATGAAGAAGATGGAGAAGAAGG